AGGGGAAAATTGAAAAAGAGAGAAGATAATTAGGGGAAAGAGGGAAAGAGGAGAACAAGTAACTTGGACAAGGATAGCCACCGACACCTAAGCCAAAGGCTGGGGTTGACGACAAAGGAGTTTGCAAGGTTGAGAAACCATAGAGAGGCTCGCGCATTTTCTCCTTTTTACTTCCAAAATGGTTATTTTAGATTGACATAACTCCTCACTTTAATCGTGAGGTTTAAAACCAATAAAAGTGATCTCATCGTCAATCATTTTAGTTCTTTTATTAAAATTTTCCATCAAATTGAAGAAACCACTTGGTCAAATTGAGGAGTTGATTTGACAAAAATCATCTCAATAAATCTCAATAACCAAATTGAAGAGTTATACTAATTTCAATGACTGTTTTGACTAAAAAAAACCTATTATTTAATTCGTATTTGGGAGATTGTGAGAGAACAACTTTTTTTTCGATTGGATACTTAAGTGTTGATTACCGTGCTTATTTTCTATTTGTGACATATCACAAAATTTGCTTATTCTATGATATTAAAAAACTACCACTTCATATTACGCTAGTGATATTTCTCTTCACTTGTAAGTGAGAGGTCTTAGGTTCAGTTCTCGCCAAATGCAATGGTAAACCACATGCTTGATCCACTCCCTTACCTCTTGAGAGTAGATAATATCATTTGTTCGAGAAAAAAAATAGAAAAATTGAATACTTACAAACGAAGCTACATTGTGATGAGTCTCTTTAACAAATGTGCAAATAAAGTTTGTTACTATGATGATATATTTCTATCTAGTTATAAGTCAAATGAAGTTTGTTATTACGATAATATATTTCTCTCTAGTTATAAGCACACGATGTCTTAAATTCCACTAATAAATTCAAATTGCAGGATTTGGGGCTCTCACGCATGAAGTAGGATTTTCTCCTCTCTTTTTTCCCCTCCCCTTCCCTCCCCTTTTTTTCCCCTTCACTCATCTCTTATTTGAACGGTTACGGCTAAGCGACGTCAACATATTATATTAATTTTTTATAACGAGAGAAAGACAAAATAAGATAATGGGAGAGAATCCTAGTCCCTCACTCATAGGTGTGAGCAAGTGGACAGAACCCCGGCCCCATTTATCCATGTTCAGATCTCTCTCGTTATCCGCTAACACAAAAACAGAGAAAACAAATCCGACTGGAAATTCGCAAATGGCGCTTCTCAACGTCTCCATCTGCTCTTCCAAACTCCCCCCAAAACCCTCTATCTCTCTCCCCCATAAACTTCACCCTTCCCGCCAACACGCCCCTCTCTCCGCCGGCTATCCTCCGCCCCAGGTACACTGCGCTACCTCGCCTCTTTCTCTCCTCCATTTCCGCTTATCTCGCACTGCGCACACCCGCGTACGTTAGTCAATTCGCTTTGATGAATTCTCACTTTTCAAATTTCTTGCACAGGTTGTAAAGAATCGCCTGGAAACTTCTGGAAGCTCTGTGTTGTCGCTGGGAGAGTCCGTCTGTAAGGCGAGCCTGGTCGCTCTGCTCTCGGCTTCTCTGTTCGTAGCCAATCCTGCATTCGCCTTTAAGGTAAGTGTTTAATCCTGGATTCCAATAATCTGTTTGGTTCCCGAGAAAGTGAAGGAAAACTACTCAATGTACTGAGATTTTCGTCTCGTTGTTGGTGAAAGGGTGGGGGTCCGTATGGTGCGGAGGTGACTAGGGGCCAGGACCTCACCGGCAAGGACTTTAGCGGCAAGACTTTGATCAAGCAAGACTTCAAAACGGTCCAAAATCGATCGAATTTGTTATATGCAAAGCGTTTGATGCTTTTACATTCGAAAATTTTGAATCTTTGTGTGTTGATTTTGTTGCAGTCGATATTGAGGCAAGCGAATTTCAAGGGCGCCAAGTTATTAGGTGCTAGCTTCTTTGATGCTGATTTAACAGGTACATTTGTTTTCAGTTATTTATCATCACGAATGCTGTAACCTTCGATCACGAATGCTGTAACCTTCGAGTGGCGTTGGTATGTGTTGCAAATGTTTAGGAAGAACATGGTTTATCGGTTGTTTTGTTTACTGTGATATTCTCTTTCCAGGGGCTGATCTTTCTGATGCAGATCTAAGAGCTGTGGACTTTTCTTTGGCCAATGTGACAAAGGTGAACTTTGATGGAACATTCAATTGTACATTTGATTAATAAGAAACCCTAATTTAGATGTTCTGGCGTTCTGCCATCAGTGTTGTGGTAAATGGTGAAAAATGTAGATAAGGGGACAATAGTGGGATTGAAAGTGTTCCCAGTAACTTACAAATGTTATGTCGATGAGTCTGAAGTTCCAATTTCCAGGAGTTATGGGGTTACAATGTGGAATAATAAGCAGAAGGATGAGAGAATCCTGGCTGTAATCCGTTGTTTGAGTCCTCTTAAGTTCGCAACATAGGGGGATGGAGAATTTTACTTCTTTTCTATACTATTTAATTTGGCTCTCAGTTTTGTTTCTTAGTAAGATTTGAAGCTTGAATTGTTAATCATGAATACCTCCACGCCTTTAGAAAATTGTCAGTCGGAAGCTCTCTGTGTGTTGTCATTTTTCGAGGATATTAGAGGGAAAAAGAGATTTGAGGTGGGTTAGAGTGATGGAGTTTCATGCTATATCAGGTTTGTTTTGATCGGGGTCTGGTTAACTTGTGATGCAAGTGCCCTTCAAGCAAGTTCGCAATAGCATTCTTAATGGAGTTTCATGTGTTTTCCGTTTTTGAGATTGCAACGAGAATGAAATTGGTAGAGCTTTCCAATCAAGTTCATTAGAGAATTTTGAGGAATTTACCCTACAATAGCATTATAATTTGTAGAAAACAGTTAAACCAGTCATTCAATCAGACAGCTAGCCTTCAGTAGTGGAAAATGCTTTCGTCAACTAGTTTAGCTGAACCTTATAAATTTTCCACATTCCCAGTTTTACGGTTCTGTTAGTTTTCACCCGAATGCAGTTACGTTCCCATCCCTTGGTCAATGCCTCAGGTGTTGGTAGTAACAGTTGGGTTGAGGTTCCACTGGTCCCAAAGTTCGAATGTCCAAGCATAAAAAATGAAGAAGGAAAGGTTTCCATAATGTTCTAACTTCTCACTCACACATGTTCCACTTCTGCAGGCGAATCTGAGCAACGCTAACTTAGAAGGTGCAGTAGCCACAGGCAACACATCTTTCAAAGGGTCAAATATTACAGGTGCAGGTATGTCAAGATTTTGCTCAATGCTAATATTTCCTAATGCTTCGACTTAACCCTTACCATTCGGGACTTCATCTCGAGGTTTACTCTAATCCATTCGAGCTACGTTTAATACTACAAAGAAAATGGAAAATTAGACAACAAAAAAAAGATAAGCTTTTCATCGCGTTGCTGTATCTAGTTCTCTCTCCAGTCTACACAGTAGCTTCAGTTTTCTTTGGCTAGTTTCCATGGAAAAAAGATAATGGAATGTTTCCATTTCCTTGGGGCAAACCAAGCACATCTTAATTTTCTAAGCTGCGTAACTTCAAATCGAGTGTACATAATCAATTTTGGACGATTTTCTATGTATGTTGCCAGACTTCACAGATGTGCCTCTGAGAGAAGATCAACGGGAATATCTTTGCAAAGTTGCCGATGGGTAAGAATACGATACTTTATATCTACACATTCATCTTCACAAATCTGCTCCATTTTACAATGAAGCCACTGTTTTGTTAACAGGGTCAATCCGACAACTGGAAACCCAACACGTGAAACCTTGCTTTGCAATTAATAGATCATTGATCAAAATATAGAACGACATTGTAAGGAGGGAGTTGGTTAATACTGGATACACGGGAAGCTGCAATTTTCACGAATGGAGCTTGTTACTTAATCTGATGTAACTATTGTATGGTATGTAAGTAATTGTTAGTTCCATTTATTCAAATGCATATGTTACACACGTAAACTATGGCCAACCAGGTACGGTTTGATACAGATACTTTTATCAGTTAACTTTCGGTACCTTTCACGTGTCACCATGTTTCATGTAAGTAACCATTGTCGGAGGCTGAGGTGGGCTGTCAGCTGAACTCTTATCTGTTCATTGTTTCTCCTCCATTGACAAGGAAACCATTATTGGCATCGTCTTTCACCAGGTATTGCGTCTTACATTTATCGCAAATTTTCTTCGGTGACAATAGTAATCTGCTTTTAGCTTTCACTTACCACTGGAACAAAGAGAGTTTAGCTCCACCTAGATTAGCAAATAGCAAACAACAGTAAACCTGTTAATGCTATGCATTACCGTGTGTATTCTTCATTTGCTAGTAGTAGTGCGGCTGCTTTCAGGCCATTTGGTGTGTTTAGCTCCAAGTGGTCAAGTTGCAAGAGCAATTTTAACTCTTGTTGTTGATACGAGCCTAGTGTTCGCTCTACCACTAAAACTAAGGCCACCCCCGTTCAAACTTTGAAAAATTGACACACACACATACAAGGACATCGAAAAATGACACGCTATTATTGTGTGCTATAAGAATACGATCACATGATATAATTAGTTTGTGTGGTATAATGTGGGGTTTGTATGAGCCTGTTTAGATACATTAGCTTTGCCATTCGTTCTTGTTAACACAAGTAGACTAGTTATATCACATGATCGTATTCCTACCTAATGCTTCTTGAGGATTACTTTCTTTAGCAGAAATAAAGAAGAGATTGAGATACAGAGGAAGAGAGTAATTACAAAGAGTAGTTGCTTAAGTGTGGACTAATCTAGGCCTTTGATTGTTGCTTGAATTAGTTACATAAGTGGAACGAATGAATAGGCTAATCAGACTTTTTAGCCAAAATGGTGTCTAAGATTGTCATAACTCCTCACTTTGGTCTCTAAGATTTAAAATCGATAAAAGTGGTCCCGAAGATTGTCCACCGTCAATCATTTTGGCTATTTTGTGAAAAATGTCCATGGAATTGAAAAAAACCACTAGTTCAAGTAAATGAGTTGATTTGACGAAAATATCATCAATTTAACGGATATTTCTCAAGAAATGATTAAAATAATTGATGATAGACAATTTCATGAATCATTTCTATTGATTTTAAATCTCAGTAACTAGTTCGGCAAAAAAAAAAAAAACCGCTAATCTATAAGTAGTATGCTAAGCCCCCACAAAAGGCCTCTAAATTATGTAGTCTCGCAGCATTGCCAAATATCCTAAACAGATATAGTGATTGATTCCGTGGGTTTGCATGTCCTAATCCTAACCTCCAGATCTCCATTCGTTATGATTCCTTGGTTCTTAATCTCACAGCATTGCCTACGTGGAGCCGCCTCCTACAAAATCACACCCATTGGATTAGACCACTAATCACAAATTAATCTGAAAACATATCTACTAATCTACTGTGCAACATGGGAACAAGCTCCCCTACAACGGGGATGATTGGGGAAGCACGTTAAGTTAGTTACTTGTAAGTAACATATGACAATGAATGATTAATTTGAAATATTGTCGCAATAGCATTCCTAATGCATAAAAGTTTAGGGCTCGTTTGAAAGTGTTTTAAAATGACCAGAAGCGCTTTTGGTAAGAATGTTTTTAAAACCAATCTTTTATAAAAACGCAAGTAAATCCTGAAAAATCATTTGAAGTACTTATTGGAAGGAGGATACAACTCTAGGAATCACTTCAAGTTCTTTTACAACCCCAAAACATTTTCTCTGAAACCGTTTTCAGTCATTTCAAAAGCCCTTTCAAACGAGTCCATCCATAAAAAAAACTCAAAACATATATAGGACCCATGTACAATACAAGAGGAGTATTATCATTTATGAAAAGAGCTAGGGTTACCTTTGTCCAATAGCGAGGGTCCATCTTCTTTGAGGAGACTACAATCCTCTGCGCTGCATGGGCATATTCTGCTCTCCCACATTGCTTTCCTTCACTGGCCACAAACCTCTTGTAAATAGTCACGGACCCACCCCTAACAAATATAACCTGGTCCAAGAAATAAATGATGGGCTGCTGACACGGGTCGGAACTCACGGGTCGGGTATTGAATGTGAATGGTCCGTCACTCCAGGTCCCCCACGTCTTGAACGTCTGCAACGGCATCTGAAGTTCCCTAGCTCCGATCAACGACGGGTAAAGCTGAATGGTGTAGCCCCATGAAACGGATATTGACCATTTACGCCGATGGTCGTAGCAAATACTTTGTTGTAGGATCCGGCCCGGGTCGAGCCGGTACGCACGAAGGAGGGACTTGAGCGAGTCTAAATGGGTCTGGCTCGGGAACATGGGTTTCATGGAGTCCAGGTGGTGAAGTGACACAAGTGGTGTCAATGGGTGCGCAGCTAAGATACCGTACGGGTCACCTCTGATATCAAGCTGGAAAATTACAATAATACCAAACAAAAAATACAATAAGCATTTTGATTTATAAAATCATAAAATATCAACGTAATGACGTGATACGACTGTCTTACTAAGTTTTACTAAGATTGAATACTGGTAGACTAAATAATCGTGTTTAGCGATTGAATTGTAGGATTTTTTTTTTTTTTTTTAATTTTAGCATTCTTAATAAAATGAGAGAAAATTGGTATGGTTTAAACATATGAAACGAAAACCTACCAACATTCCGATTAGAAGGTGCGATTACAATACAGAGGCTTAAGGCTAAAAGGATAGAAGAATACTTGAGAAGACTTGGACAAATACTCTAAGAAAAAACTTGAAGTACTTGAATCTAACAGAACATTTGTCACAAAATCGAGTACAGTGATTTTTTAGAATTTATACAGCCGACTCCACTTAATAAAGTAAAACTTTGTTATTGTTGTATCATTAATTTCGACCATACAATTATGCCGGTGAAAGCTACTGCCTTATCAAAATTCACCCACCAACCATCTTGCGCAAATGGTTGGAAAAATTGAAATGCTACGAAGTACGAAGCATGGAGAAAGATAGCACACAAAGATAAAGCAGAGACGTTATTTTCACCGGGCCCACCACACAACACAAACCTCCAATAAATTTAACAGTCAGCATCACACGTGCCAGCGACCAACCTACCGTTCATAGTTGATCAACAGTGATCGCGAAATAGCTCAACCTTACGAGCACGAGAGAAACGGTAGATATAAATGAGATATCACAAACACTATACATTTCTATCTCAAGCCATGACACACATAAATTTTAATTTTCTCTCATGTTAGTGAAATTGTGCGAGACCAGTTTAAAATAAGGGTGTGATATGCACACATCTTTTTTTTATTTTTCACACATTTTTTATTAATTTCTGTCATTTAATTTTTTTCATTTCATTCGATTTGACGATCTAAAATTAAAAAAATATGTGAGAAATATAAAATATATGTGAATAGCACACCCTTTAAAATAGGAGTGTGATATCCACACACATTTTTTTACTTCTCACACACCACTCTAATTTTCGACCGTCTGATCGGATGAATTGAAGAAGATCAACAAACGAAAATTAACAAATGATGTGTGAGAAGTAAAATAAAGTGTGTGAATAACACATTTCTTAAAATATGGTTGTTGTAGCGTTTCAGTTGTGCATGGAACAACGAAAGATCTCCAATCTTAACAGTTAAAGTGTGGACTGAACTGCTTTACGAGTACGACTGACGGGTGGAATAGTGGAAGCAAGCATTAGCTACCAACTTTTTTCAATTCCATGGCTCCATACACGCCACAAAAACTGGTACAGTAAATGGGTATATATTCCAAAAAATAATTGTTCGACTACTCAAAGATGAGTAACAACTCATACTCTAAAAATTCTAGTTGGAATTATCCATATTATAAATCATTCTGTAAAAATTATCTCTGCAAAAAATGAATTAAACCTAAGGTTGTATAGTCAATCTAGTGACGGTTCGTAATACTTTTACCAATTTTGTTTATTTGTTTTTCTACAATTCGATGACAAGAAGACCTTAGTTTTAATTGATATTTTGCAAAGAGGATCTATGTATAGTGATTCATAGTGTGAACGATTCTAATTACAAACACAAAGTTCTATAAATTGGCAACGAACAGATTTTGAAAATAATCTTACGCATTGTTAGGGTAACCAAATATTATTCTATTCCAAAAAATTTCAAAGGAAAGTGGTTAAGGATAAAGGAGGGCGATTTCATGGTCATTATGTTTTAGGCCACACACACTAATATTTGTCCTAATAAAGTGATACAGAATATTCAATAAGAAAGTAATCCTATGAATAAAAAAATGCAACTTCAAGGACACGTATCCAACCTTTTTGCTATAAGACACGACAAGCCAAACACATGCATGCAGCTTTTAAATTCCTCAAATAATTTAAAAAAAAAAAAGAGCAACTATAATTGAGAAACATATTTTCATTTACTCAATCTCATAAGATTACAATCTAAAGGTATATATATATTTGTGTAGACTAACTAACTCATAACAAATAACAACTTTCCTTAACCTCTAAGTATTATCCCTTGATAGTGTATTTACAATATTATCCTTAATATCCCCCCTCAAACGAAACTTGGGAACCCGAAGTTGCAGTTTGTCCCGGAGAAACAAAAACCGTGCTGCAGCTAAAGATTTTGTACAGATATCTGCCACTTGGTCTTGGGAGCAGATGTAGTGAAGGGAGATGTGCTTGGCAACTACTTTTTCACGGATGTAATGATAATCAAGCTCAACATGCTTGGTCCGAGCATGAAAAACAGGATTCTTGGCAAGGGAAATAGCAGAGACGTTATCACACCAAAGCTGAGGAGAACAAGGCAGACAATAGCCAATGTCAGCAAGTAATTGACAAATCCAAGTGATCTCAGAGGCAGTGTTGGCAAGGGAGCGATACTCTGCCTCGGTAGAGGAACGAGCAACAGTGGGTTGCTTTTTAGCACTCCAACTAATGAGAGAATTACCCAGAAAAATGCAGTAACCACCAGTGGATCTCCTATCTAACTCACAACCAGCCCAGTCAGCATCGGAAAAGGCCTTGAGGGAGGGAACAGAGGAGCACTTCGAGAACCAGAGACCGTGATCAATGGTGCCCTTAAGATACCGGAGGATACGCTTGACAGCTTGGAAGTGAGAGACTTTGGGAGTGTGCATGAATTGGCAAACAAGGTTGACAGCGAAACTAAGATCCGGCCTTGTCCAGGTTAGGTACTGAAGAGCACCAACCAATGACCTGTACGCAGAAGCATTATCAAGAAGAGGAGAAGCATGATCAATCTTAGAGGTGCTCAGTGGTGTGTTGCAGGGTTTTGCACCAACCATGTTGGCTTTGTGAAGCAAATCCAGAATATATTTAGTTTGGGATAGAAAAATGCCAGTAGAAGAGCGCTTGACCTCAAGACCGAGAAAATAGTGTAAAGGACCAAGATTCTTAATAGGAAACAAACTGCTGAGCTGAGTGATCACATGTTGACAAGCAACAGAAGAGGGCCCTGTAACCAGAATGTCGTCCACATACACAAGAACAAAGACCAAGGCTTTGTCCTTTTTGACAAACAGAGAGTGGTCACTTTGAGAACCAGCAAATCCAAGAGAAGCAAGGGCAGCATGGAGTTTATCATACCAAGCCCGGGGAGCCTGTTTCAGACCATATAGCGATTTATGAAGCTGGCACACATGATGGGGCTTGGTAGAGTCTGCAAAGCCGGGTGGTTGTTGCATAAACACAGATTCAGAAAGAGTGCCATGTAAGAATGCATTACTGACATCAAGTTGGTGCAGAAACCAATCAAATTAAGCAGCAAGGGTGAGTAAGAGGCGAATTGTCACAGGTTTAGCCACAGGGCTAAACGTTTCAGTGTAATCAAGACCTTCCTGTTGGTGAAAGCCCTTAGCAACCAACCGAGCCTTGTAGCGATCGATGGAGCCATCGGGTTTTCGTTTGATACGAAACACCCATTTGCAGCCTACTATATTCTGGGAAGAGTGATATGGAACCAGGGACCAGGTTTGAGTATGAAGCAGAGCATTGAATTCCTCCTGCATTGCTTGGCGCCAATGAGGGTGTTTAGAGGCCTGGAGATAGGTGGTAGGAATATAATCCAGAGACAAATGAGAGGGAAGAGGATGATTTGTGGCAGTAAAGGCTTTAGGTTTATAAATGCCTGACTTAGAACGAGTTTGCATAGGGTGAGTATTGAGGGAGGAAGATGGTAGTGGTGGTGCAGGGGAAGGAGAGGAGGAGGATGGTCCAGAGGGTGATGAGGATGGCGGTGGTGCAGGGGGAGAAGGGAAGGATGATGAGCCAGAGAAAGAAGATGAGGAGGAAGGAAGGAGGAAGAGAGTAAAGGTTAAGGAAGATGGAATAGCAGAGGAAGAACTTGCAGGTTGGAATGGGGAAGGAGAAGAGGAAGAAGAAAGTTTAGAAAATGGAAACTTACTTTCATCAAAGAGAACATGCCGGGAGATATAAATGCGTCCTGTTGATGGATCAAGGCATTTGTACCCCTTATGATTAAGACTGTAACCCAAGAAAACACAGGGCTTGCTCTTAGCATCCAACTTAGAAGAAGCATACGGCTTTAACCACGGAAAGCAGAGGCAACCAAAAACTCTGAGGGTACCATAACAAGGGAATGTCTTGAAAATAGACTCCCACGGTGAGGGCCGAGAGAGAGTAGGTAACCTGTTGATGAGATAGATTGCAGCTGCAAAAACATCAACCCAATATAAGTGAGGAACTTTAGATGCTGCAAAAAGAGTCCGGGCAGTTTCCACAATATGCCTGTGTTTGCGTTCAGCACATCCATTTTGCTCGGGTGTGTGAGGACAAGATAACTGATGCTGGATGCCATGTTGTGCCAAAAAATTAGAGAAAAGAGTACTCATGTATTCACCACCAGAATCAGATCGCAAGGTAATAATTTTGGTGCACAGAGTATTTTCAACCAAAGATTTATATTTCATGAAGACTGAAAGTACATCAGATTTGTATCTCAGAGGGAAGAACCAACAGTAACGAGTAAAATCGTCCACAAAAATGACATAATACCGGAAACCATCCTGAGAAGCTATAGGTGAGGGTCCCCAAACATCGGTATGAATGAGTTCTAACGGTTTCGTGGTAGTACATGTAGTGGATACAAATGGTAACCTAGAACACTTTCCTAATGCACAGGCTGAGCAAAAAGAAGAGGTCTTTTGTTGGAACACAGAGATACAGGACTTAGAGGCAAGCTTATTTAAAATCTTGACTGAAGGATGGCCCAACCGTCCATGCCACAGAGTCCGGGAAGCTTTTGGAGTAGCAGTAAGAGCTGAATGCTTGACACCAGTGTGAGAGGAAGGATAAAACGGATAGAAGCCATGCTGAACAGGACTTTTAAAACGCATCCTCCCCGAAGAAAGATCCTTCACAGTAAAGTGAGAGGGATAAAGATGCATAGAGCATTGATTATCAATAAGAAATTGATTTGCAGAGAGGAGATTATGCTTCAGATCAGGCACAAATAAAACATTTTTGAGTGCAAAATTACTATGTGAAGTGGTAATGGAAGAAGAGCCAGTGTGAGTGATAGGCAAACCTTTGCCATCACCGATATATACTTGTTCAGGCCCTGTGTAGACTTCAGGATTCTGGAGAGTGGCATAGTTATTGGTCATATGAGAGGTAGCGCCAGAGTCGACAATCCATGGAGAGGAGGAGGTGGAGGTGTTGGCAACCAACGCAGTTTGGGATGACTTGCCAGTATAGTGAGGGTCCATGCGATGAGGACAGTCACAAGCCTCATGGTCAAATTGACGACATATTTGGCAAGAAAGCTTCCTGTTGGATGAAAAATTGGACCGAGGGCCTCGATTGAAACGCTGATTGTTGCCTCGATTGAAATTGGAGAATCGCGGATTGTTATTCTGCCTGAAATTGCCACGAGATTGATGATTGCCTCGAGTAAAGTTGCGATCCAGTCCACGGTTTTGATTAGGAGAGGAGAACGACTGCTGAGCAACATAGCCGTGAGAGATAGAAGGAACAGGCAGAGGAAGAATACCAGTGGAGGTGTTGTAGGCCTGAAATGAAGGCACCGGTGGACTTTGCTTGCGATTTGTCAATTGGATCTCTTTGCTAAGAAGCAAACCATGGAGTTCATCCATGGTAGTTGAACCAAGACGAAATTGAATGGCATCCACAAACGAGTCAAATTCAGGAGGTAAACCATGTAAAATGACAGAAATCAGCTCTGAATCTTCAACTGGAGCACCAGCACTAGCAAGAGCATCAGCAATCTCCTCAGTGCGTTGAAGATATTGAGCGGCTGTGAGATCGCCTTTGGTGAGACTGCGAAGGCGAGATCGAAGTTCGTGGATGTGAGAATGCGAGGCAGCAGCAAGACGAGACTCCAATTTGGCCCATAGTTCTCGAGCCGAGGAAACGCCAACAGTATAAGGAATTAGGGATTCCGAGAGAGTCGAATTGAGCCAGATGAGAATATTCTGATCATTCTCAAACCAAGCAACATACGCCGGATTAAGACTGCGATTGCCGGAGGAGTCGATGAGAAATTGAGGCGGCGCCGGCGAAGAACCATCAATCAAACCGGTGAGGTTGTAGCGACGAAAAATTGGAGCAAAGAGAGCACTCCATGTCAGGTAATTGGTAGTGGTAAGCTTGATCGGAACCATAGATCCAATGTTCTGTATGGTAATTGATGTAGAATTCAAGGAATTAGGGTTTGAAGCTTCCGACGGGGGAAGAATTGGAGAATCCGATGCCGTAGAGGAAGAGACGGCAGGAGCCATGAGCAGAGATGCAGAGAAGAAAAGCAAGCGAAGAAAATCAAGAACAACAAGATCGGAGATCAAGCTCAACAAGATCTGAGATCAAGATCGGAGTAGCAGAGAAGCGGGAAGATTTGGGATCGAAGAGAGAAGTCGGTAGACAAGGGCGAGTGATACCATATTGAGAAACATATTTTCATTTACTCAATCTCATAAGATTACAATCTAAAGGTATATATATATTTGTGTAGACTAACTAACTCATAACAAATAACAACTTTCCTTAACCTCTAAGTATTATCCCTTGATAGTGTATTTACAATATTATCCTTAATATATAATACCTACCAATTATAATATGGTTCAGGAGCTTAAATTATTCACTTGCTCTTTTTAATAATAATAAATTAAAACAAATTAATTTATATTTTCGAGTCAATGTTTTTTTTAACAAGGGCAAAACTAATTTTTTTGTACAAGTGAGCTATTATTATTTACGCAAAGATCTAAGTAAACTTGAAATTGTGCGGGACGCTCTAAGTAGCATTAAATTTCTTTCTTCCAAATTTTACATTAGAATTAGGACGTATCTTAATTCTAATTTTATGTCTTGTTTGTGAATGGTTGTTAACTTCTTACGTAGGATTTACTCATTCGAAATCAAAAGAGAAGTGCTGCTACACTAATAATTGAACATTATTTAGCTCTAATCATTGTTGTTGTCTGAGTTCAAATTTTGATTTAAGCTTTCTAAACGTGGGTGATCAAGTTTTTCCAACATAATTGACACTCGAGTCAATTAATTAAAACCATCTGTTATGATGATTGACGAGGTCAGGTGGCGGCTCACCATTGGGTCATCCAACCGAAATTCAAATCCATGTCGTTACTCCACACACGTGGCGCTAACCCAATGACCCGCCCACTCTTGCCGTTAAAAATGCGTCACAAAACATGAGAAATTTTTAGTTAAAATACAGATAATACATCACATGTTTTTATGTAAGTAATGAAAATTTTAAATTTTTAAGTTATTAATTTTTAACACACATAAACCATCATTTATATAAAGATACGTGATGTACCATTTCATGTGACTGTCATACTGAAAAATCACTCTACAAAACATAGCACTAAACCCAAATATATTCCGCCACCATTTCCCCTAGCAGCTAAGTAAAACAACCGAGTGCAACCAAAAAAGGCAAGAAAAGTATGACGTACCTGGTGGAACCCACCGAGTTTAGTGAGAGGCACACCCATCTCGCTGACGCAGGCCGATACCCTCTGATCGGAGCCGTAGAAATTAGAGTACCTCTCCAGACAGCCGTCCATCAGCCCGACCAGCCGCGCCGCAAGTGGGTAGCTGATCGCGAACCCGCCGCCGCCATACGCCATGTCGTACGCGTGCGCCACGTTCTGCTCCACGCTCTCCGAATTCCCGCCAATGTAGTACGTAAGGTCGTGGTCGTACCTCGCCAGCACCGAAACTAGGTTGTCGCTGAAAAACACCGTGTCGTCGTCCCCCATCACGAACCACCGCACGTTGGGCAACCCGAGTTTAAAGCTCTCGTACACAATCCGGGCGATACGAACCGCCGATTGGGAACTCGAGTAGCTGAACCGGGTCCAGTCCTCCGACACCCGGTACGGAATCGAACCGGAGAAGTCCGTTTCGTTTTGGGGTTCGGCGTCGAGCCATAAGAACCCGCGGATCGTGTTCGGGTCCCACCAGAGTTCCGCTGACAGGCTGCGGTTACGCCACGTGGTGAGGGAGGCGCCGATGCCGAAGAGAATGTGGGTTATGTTAGTGGGTTCCAGTTCGGGTCCGGGTCCGGGTCCCGGAGCTACAGAGTCGACTCGGGTCCGGACTACGTCCGGCATGGGGAACCAGTGTGACTTGGTGGAGAAGGCGAAGAAGAGCGCGAGTGAAATCGACGTGACGAGGCAAAGGAGGAGGCCCAAGCGCAGGCAGAGGACCAAATAGTCGCCCTTTTCCGGGAATGCGAACAAGTTGGAAGCTTTGAGCTGGTCCTGCCGAGCCGGACTCGTTTTCTGCTTCTTTTTTTTCTCACTTCTGCCCAAAACCCCCTGCATAAGTTCTAATTTGAAACCGGTAAGTCCTCGGGGAATCGGGTATTTATGAAATTGCCCCGGACTGCAGAAAAATCTCTCATGTACGCCCAGACCCAGAAATTCTCGTATCAGAGCTTCTGGTTGAGAGACGATGAAAGGGTCAGGGTAGGAGGAGAAGTGGGAAGAATCCGTACAATGATAAAGAGTAAGAACGAATGGGTTTTAGAGAGAGAGAGAGAGTATGGGAGTTGGGTTGTGGGAGAAAGAAAGAAGAAAATATATGGAGGAGTGAGAAAGCTGGCTTTTACTGTTTACAGAGATGGGAAAATATTGGGTGTGGTTTGTGCTGGCAGGGGTAACTATATGTACGCAATTTTTGGGATGTCGTTCGTTTTGATTTTTTGTAGGTGTAAATATTGTAATTATGGAAAAAATATGAGGTGGGGAGGGGAAATATATAGAAATGTGTTCATAGTACATTCTACTTTAACATATTTGATTTGATTTTTGGGGTCTGTAATTAGTAGATAAGAAAAATGTTAAGAAAATAATTATTTGACGTGATAAGTAATGTGTATTATTTGAATGATCGTTGTATGTATTACATTATTCTTAAATAATTATGCACTATAGCAATTTTGTTAAGGAGATTGTGGTTCCTATTTCAAGGAAATCATTATGCGTTATTTCATGTAAATTATTGAGAAAAGCAAAACCTATGTAAAACATAAAAAAATATAACTAGAAATTTTCAATGCAAGATGTCTTGATAAGTCCTCTTTCAATTGGGAATGGGGACGTTCACTAGACTAGTTATTCGTATAGTTGTGCATTGAGTTTTCAAGCTTTTTGTGTTGGTTTTGATCTATTATCGAGTTAGAGTTGTATACAACCTAGAACTTGAGAATTAAAAATTCAAATTTAACATATTAACATGAGTCAGACGTTTGGCGAAAACAAAAAAAAGCGCAAATAGACGGCGGGCGGCATTTGTAGAGGTGGATGTCGTTTAAGAGAAAAACATAACGTATGAGGTTAAATTTGATTTTCACATGTATTGAATGTCATTTTCTTTGGAGGTGGATGTCGTTTTTAGAGAAAAACATAACGTATGAAGTTAAATTTGATTTTCATATTATAGAATGTCATTTTCTTGGTATAAACATTATTAGTACCATTGGAATCATCCATTAGCTAGTGACTAAGCCTCAATACTTGTCAAATTACTCATGGAAGTTATTCATGTTCGCCTGTTCATGAACGACTCAAAAAATTTTGATCCGAAAATGAATCATGGTGGAGGAGCGAACGCCGAATCACTTGAGTTACAAGTTCGATATCCAGCAAATTAATTATTTAGAAAATTAAATTAACGCCAATCAAATCTCCGCATATGAACTACCCTCATTATGCATCCAACATAATCAAGAGATTGTTGAAAACACTTTTAGATAAAATATTTTTAGGTTTTAAAAGCACTTGAAGTGTTTTCCAATGTTCACTTACATTTTTGTTAAGAATTAATACCAAAAATATTTTCACCAGAAATTCTCTCAGCAATTTTAAAAACACTTTCAAACCAGATCATCTTTAATTATTAGTAAAATGAGAGATTCAATGAGATGAACAGAGAAAATGCCACTTCCTTGTTCTTCTTTTTCCCTGCACAAAACCAAACCTTTACTTTTTAAGGTGTTTGGGACGATGAACCCAACTAAATGGAATCACGAGGGAAGGTGATTCCTCTGCCTGATTAAAAAATCGGGTAGAAAACTCAATATTTTGATAAAGATAGTGATGGAACGTACACGTGTCCCCGCATTCATGGTCTAATTAATTGTTTCTCTGATTTGAATATAATTGTTTATTTTGTCCCAGATTTAACAAGCTGAAAATGTTAGGAAGATCATATTTTGTAAATTCTTTCTCTAATAAAGGTGAGACATAGAAAGGTGGAATCTATATAATGTCGAACAAGGAGCTATAACTGACGACTTCTACGGCGGCAAACTCGACGGAGTCATATATTGTGGAATTTATCTTTATTACGTAGATGGTTTATATGTGGTTTACAAAATGTGGTTTTTCTAGCATTATCATATGTGTGCACCTCCAGTTAAGATGATTTTAGAGAGATCATATTTTGTAAACTACATTTAAATCATCTCGCTAATATAAGTAGAGTTCACACACTACTATTAAAGAGATGGTTTAGACGAGGTCTACAAGATACAGTCTCTATAACATTTTTCTCAAGAAGATATTTTTTAGTGTACCCCAAAAGTAAAGAATGATTTACATGGTATTAGTACACTGCCAAGATATCATTCTGTGTTAACGAAATAAAAATATGTGAAAGTTTTTTTTTATCCATGTGTCCTTGTTTCTGGGAAAGGACGCCACATAACAGTATATCTATGTCATATAAGTTGTTATCCTAAAAATGAGACATAAAAACCTATTGGTCCAACTAAGCAAATATTAAATTGCATAATATAAATTTTATCCCCGCTCCTCGTACATGATTTTGTGTGTGGATGTAATGAGTTGTTTATGTCGAAAATTGAAGAAAATTTGTAAGAATTTATAAGAACTTTTGGACACTGTAATTGTCAATTAATTTTAAGATTAGAACCTCAACTTATTATAATAATGCTTTTATTCACGTGTGAAACCCAGTACTCGTAGGTGCTCTATGTTGATTAGGAACATGCTCTTAATTTGAACCTTATTTTTTCGTCAAGATATCATGCATGTTCGCTCATGTGAGAACAGTGAAACTCAACAAGCACACATATTCTACATTAACCAAATAATAGTAAAATAAAATGCGCAAAGTGTGCAATATATAGTATAATAATCGTATCGTTGGCAAATAAAAAAAAAACTTTTTTATTTAAAAGAAAAAAATGATGACAAAAATAAAGAAGAAAAGTTCTAAATTATATTAGAAAAAAGGCCGGCATCGGTTTGTTAAGGTTTATTGGGCCACTAGCCGAAATGTTAAAAAGCCCAAATTAACCGGTATTATTGTCCACAGCATGAACAATAAGCCCAAATTAACTGGTATTATTGTTGGGAATATGGGATGATAAGCATCTAAAAGCATCTTCATCTCTTAGACCATCTTCAACCTTTACGTTAAAATCTAAAATTTTTAACCTAAAATTTTAACCTAAGAGTTGGAGATGGTCTTAGAACGATATAATTGCCTAGGCTATTGGGTAATTGGCAATTATTGCCTTGGTGAACAGTAGTTGCCTAAGAATATCTTCACCCTATAAATAAATTTCCTGAACAATTGGAATTAAAAAATTATGTTAAAAAATAATATCACGTTCAATTTTTGAAGAATATTTTCAACTAATCCCTTCACGTCACGTGTTATTATTGAAATTAAAATTTCATCCCATTCATTCCACGGTTCCTATTCTCTTAAATTTTATTTGTTTGTAATTATTTATAAGTTTTAAACATTTACTAATAATAGAACTAATATGGACGGTTGGATGACATTTTTTTTTCAATCCAAGAGTCTAGGTGGTACCACGTGGACAACATAGTCTTTTATAGATTTTTCTTTGAGTTTTTTAAAATCAGGATTAAATAGACCGTCGGATTTGGAAAATGCAATTGTGCAGATTCTCAGATGACTTGCGCCCATGCACCTGACGCAAAAAAAATTTATAACATGGGTGGCGTCAACCTGACGTCATATTGCCTCGAACACAACCTCATGCCATTCTCGCCCCGACTGCTTGGTCCATGGGAGATGGGCCCACCCAAGAGGTGAGGCAATTGGCATGGGCTGGAGTAGATTTTGGAGGGGTTGGGGGATTCTATCACTCAACAGGTGGGGCAATTTGTAGGAGTGAGGTTGCTCTAATGAATTGGTTAGTATCAATTTTAACATTTATTTTAATTATATTGTTAAATGCATTTTAAGGTGAGTTGATCATTCACGTGCGGACACCCAATACAAGTTAGGAGTATTTGCCCTTTGCATTGGCCTTATTAGATATTGCATGTGTTTGTTTTTTAGGGTAACAACCTCTTAACTTATTTCCAATTTTTTTTTTAAATGTAGAATTCTAAAAAATGAAAGAGACATCCCCTAAAACTTCTATAAGCATGATCATATTAGATTCTAAAACAACTACTAAACATCTCATGTTATGTTACAAGGGAAGACAGCTACAAGCTGAGGCTTCAATTCATGTAAATGTATTTTAATTAAAAATATATATAACAAAATTTGGATTTGACTAGAACAAGTACCTTTATTGATTAAAATCACTATCTCCACGGTCAAATAATGATTGTATTATATACATATATTTATAAAAATTATATGTGACCGTCAAATAATGATTATATTAAATACATGTTAATATTATAGCCCAGCCCCACAAAGTTTAAAGGTAAAAACTACAAAAGAAAATTACGGCCTCATGATATTTGTGTCCTTCGTTTTTTTTTTTGGGTTTTTCCAAAAGTTTAGGGGGAGGGGAGGCTACCCCATTCTAGGGTGAGAGTATACCACTAGCCTCTTTGAGGATTTATTAATAGTATCTTAGCCTCTTTTTTTGTTTTTACAGATCTCCCACCAAGTGGGATTGCTGGCAACGAGACTCGAACCTAGCTAGACCTTGATCTAGCAAAAATAATGATCTTTACCAACTCAACCAACCATTGTTAGCCCTCAATTAGTTATTATGAAAGACAACATTGGACGATCTTAAAATTGTGCCATACTATTTTTTTTCTTCTCAACAACCGAGATCGGGTGAGAGAGAATCATACATGATAATACTTTCCATTGGTTTTGCTCTTGATTTCTTTTATCAAGTTGGTTTTACTCTTGATTATGGTCCATGCATGATTGTTACTTGTTTTAGTCGATTACTATAAACGAATTATACTTGATCAACAATACTAAACTTATACAACTTGAATTAGTCACAATATTCAAACCTTACTTAGTTGAACTAGTGCTTAAATTTTCTTTCTTTTAGTCACCTAGTGTCACGTCATATATACGAGTCCATGACTGGACTCTCTCTCAGTCGGCACATAGAATATTAAAATTACAGATCCCTAAATAATTAGGTTATTCTTAATTAATAAGGTTTATTTTAAGCTATTTCCTTCTTGTTTTTGTAATCAAAGTTATAAATATCAAACATTATCGCGTTCCCTTTCATATTTTCTTGTTCCACAAGTTGAGAATGAAGACATTTTAGATAGAACCCTACAAATAGAAGACAATCCTAATAATAATTTTTTTTGTCTTTTTTATCAAATTAAATCAAGAAGGCATTCATGTATATTATT